CGGAGCAGGGAGCCCGATGCGGGACTCGATCCCGGGACTCCAGGATCATGACCTGAGCCGAAGGCAGTCGCTTAACCAACTGAGCCACCCAGGCGCCCAATATTTTGACTATTGACAGAGATTCTAGAATATAAAATCTAGAATTCTCTAATATTTTATAAACTAAAACATTAGTAATTCTGGTTTTGAAACTGGATAATGAAAACTGAGTGATCTGACTTTTGAGATGCCCTTGAGAAATCTATCAGGCTAAGGCCCTAGATCATAAAGCACCCTTGTGATGTCCAGCTTAAAATAGTCTAAGAAAGCCCAGGATTATTCTACCTGTGGCCACTACAGTGACAAATATAAATCAGATCAAGTCTTTGTGATCACCCCTAATTTTTTTGACCTTAGATGAACTATTAGTTAACTATCTAGACCTACACTTAAAAGAAAATCAGAATTACCAGGTGATTAAAAAAAAAAAAGCAACTAAAATGAGGCAAAGTTTAACTTTATTCTGTAAATAACAATTAACTATATCCACCTGTCTCTGCATGCGTACTAGAAGCTCCTAAAACAATGTGAAAATTAATGTAAAACAGTAAGTTATTCAGAATATTCAAGTAAGGGAACTGTCCAAACCTATGTTTATTGTCTGAAATAAACAGTATTAATATCACCATTACAAGGTTTTAGATGACAGTGTCCACACCCACAGGCATTCATTGCTTCAACAAGATTTGTTTGTTCAAGTTTTGCCCATAACAGAAGAAGAGATTCAACTATTATGTTTTTATGGCATATCTATAGACAATTAACATCCTAACTCACTGATTTCTCTGAGCCCCTTCCCTGTGCTGCCAACCTCACCTGCTCAGGGACTAAAATCTACAATTTGAATGCTACCCTCTAAGGAAAACATAATTAGTTTTTAAATCACAATGAAAGAACAAAACAAAAATCCCAGATACCACAGTGTAGTCCAAAATCAAATACAAGTGATTTTTGCTTACCCAATTAGAGTATAAGACCTGATTTCTACAATTAGAATTTAACATGCTACAACACAACTACAAATAAAATATTAACAAAGCCAGAGACTTTGTGGCATCTAGTCCTTAGGCAAACCTATTTAAGCATACTTGACTACATAGGTGCACCTGCACACAAAAATTAAAAGTACATTAGATGACTCTCTCTGACATGATAAAAACAGCTATCATGTTCCCCTTTGACAGTAATAACCCTTAAGTCAGGGAAATCAAAATACTAAACTAGGCACAAAATCTTTAATTCATTACTTTTCCATTTAGGGATACTTAGTATACAATCTTGGCTACTTTGTATCAGAGAGATGACTCAATGAACACAATGAATCTGCCTGATGAACCAATGAGTGAATCATACATGATCTCTATCACCAAGAGATCCAAATTATAAATCATGTAGCTTCAGTTTATGTATTCAGAACGCCTTATGACCTGATAATGCTGGTTAAATGAGAGAGATCCTGAAAACTTTGCAATCTGTTCCATAAAGCGCAAAAAGTCTTACTCCGTACATAAAGTGGCTTGGTTCAGATTTTTTATTCTAAGTTTGATTTCCTGGGAAATATTTTACAACAACAAAGCCAACTTCAAAGGAATTTGTTCTAATTTTTTCAATACCCTAAGAAATAAAAAACCCCACAAAAATGGAATATTACGAAATTCTATTATTCGATGGGTGGTCTGAGTAGAAAAACCTATGCATGTCAGTTTTACATATACCAGTTTTAATCAAGAGAAGTAAGGTTCAGAAGGACTGTTATTTCTCTCGTATTACAGAGCTTATGGGTAGCACTCAGAGTACAACATTTCTCCGGAAATAACCAAAATATTAATACGGAAAAGCTACACACTGCTTCTTTTATTATCAATACCAAGAATCCGAAAGCCCACTGGAAACCCAGCAATTCGGCAAGTCTTCGTACATGTCAAAGAGTTATTCAATGTCTGGAACCTTACTTATTTTACGACAGCATCCAAATGACTTTTACTAAAAATTCCCTCTGAGGCATCAACTTTTTGGAGCCAGATTCTCAGCGGCTCTATCAGAGCCATAGGGAGGGTCAAATACAGAGCTACAACCTTTGGCATCAAGCCCAAACTCAACGTAGGGTGTGTCCGGGTTGTTGTGGAGCCCGTTCTACTGCCCTTTCGTGGGAGGGTGCCTCATGCTTCCCAGAGATGATGCCCTCCATGACTCTTACCCCGCGTGACAGCGCGACCTGAGGGAGGGAGTCTTGCTGGAGGCGGCAAGATTGACGCCCGCCCCCTTCCCTTCCTCTTTCCCTGGGAGGCCCCTCTCGACCAGGGCCTCCACTATGACCACCAGCTCGACGCCCGTTAAGTGCTGAGGGCAGAGGGGCTCCCGGCCTACTCCAAGCCGTCGCAGCCAAGACAGTGAAGAGGGTTCCCCGCAAGGGGCCGAAGAGGAGGAGCCAGTAGGAGCCCGGCCCTTCCCCCCAGCGGGCTTACCCTCCACCGCCTCCTACACGTTGCAGCCGCCCCGCTTCCTTGCGGAGGAGCCCGAAGCACTGCGTCCAGCAGCAGTTCCCCATCGCATGCCGCCCAGGCGCCGCTGCTCCTCCTCCTCCCGCTCAAAGCCCACACTCAGGCCCGGCAGCCGCATCCGCGCGGCACGAGCCGAATGAGGCTTCGGGGACCAAGGGCGGGCCAGCCGGAGCGCGGCGGCGTGAGGGGCTGAGGTGACAGGAGGGACAGGCGCTCGGAACAAAGGCAGCGGTTACTCTACCGGCCACCTAGTCGCCGCCGCTTGAGGAAGGAGTGTGAGGCTGCGGGCTTTGGACTCCCTCTCCGTCTGCATGGACCTCTCGCTCGCCTCCGGACCCCAACCTAGCACAAGTGACCGCCTCCAGCCCCTGAAAGAAGCCAGGCGGCGCGCGTCGGGCGCCCAGGCCCCGCCCTCCCGTGCGCCCCGGCCGCCGCCTCGCTGCCGCCGCTGCCACACCCCCGCCTCTCCCGGGCCCCAATAGGGTGCCCTCCCTCTGTGGCCCCGCCTCCTCCGGCCGCTGGTTCTTACGTCACTTCCACAAACTCCCGTGTCTTCAGCCTCTACCTTGCGGCTAGTCTAATTGCTGGTTGTGGGTGTTTGTTTCGTTGGACCTCGACCTGACTAGAAATCTCCTTTTCTCCTTGCGTTTCCCGTTTCTGGCTCCTGAGCATTTCCTTGTGTCGCAACGGTCAAGGCTGAACGTCGAACTTTGTACCAAAGCCTTACGAACGGCTTACCTAGAGCCCAAGGCCAGGAGTCACCGGGTATGAGAAGGGGCACTTTGTGTAGTGTGTGCTTAGGTTTTGTTAATACCGCACCATAAGTGGCAAATAGAGTCAAGGGACTGATTGACGTTTTGAACGTACCAAGAATTTTTTCTCCTCTGGTCTCTAGTTTGCGTTTCTATCTCCGTACTGTCAATATTGTAGAAAAACTTTTTAATGGCGATCTACTGGCCTCTTTTTATTTTGTTTAAAATCAAATCTTCAAATAATTTCGGGTGGGTAGTTGTCGTCCAGAGGAAGTAAGAGGGCTAGGGTTTTTCAGGGACACCAGCCTTTCCGATCCAAGCGTGCCGCCGGGAACTGTAGTAGATGGGAAGAGATCTCAGACGCGACTTGGTCTGCTGCATCCTCAAATGCTGTAAAACTCGGTTTTTGTAGTTGGCCTTAAAATCGAATACAAGGGGGAAAAAAAATCGGATATAAGGCGTGGTTTAACAAGCCCCTAGTCCGTTGGATAAAATGCCTTTTTTTTTTTTTTTTACTGTGTCTATTTTTATAGCCTATTTTAATTTAATCTAGGAAAATTGTTGTATTTTAGAAAATTGTTATTAATGAAAAAATCTTCTTGAGCTATTCATTTTCTTGTTTCCTGAAATCTAGGTCGAACTGGGTTTCAATCTTAGCACTGCTACCTAAATAATTTTGACCTTATTTGGGTCCTAGTCGTTTTTGTAACCAAGTGCCTAACAATATGTTTGGCCCAATGGTCTGCAATCAGTGAATGTTAGTGGAATGACTGAATGACTTCCTAAATAGCAACTGTATTTTCTATCCCTCTTTCAACCCCTAAAATCAAGCAAATATATTGGTGAAATAATCTTTAAAATTCAACTATAAAGCTATAAAGCAAGCTGTGGAATACTACTCAGCAACAAAAAGGAGCATACTATTGATACACACATATAAAATGAATCTGCAGAAGATTATATGGAATTGAAAAGCCAGTCTCAAAAGCTTTCATATTGTATAATCCATTTATATAACATTCTAGAAATGACAAAATTATAGGAACAGAGAACAGATTGCATGGTTGCCAGGGGTCAGGGAGTAGGGAATGGAATCTTGTGATGGAAAACCTGTATCTTGGTTGTGTCAATGTCAGTATCTTGTTTGTGATACTACATTACAGTTTTGCAAGATGTTACCATTGAGGAAAACTGGGTAAAGGGTATATGTGGTGATTTCTGTATTTTTCACAATTGCATGTGACACCACAATTACGGACACTTGATGGATACTTTTTGCTATAGGCATTCTTATAAACCTCTATTAAAAGTAGATCTGGGGCGCCTGAGTGGCTCAGTTGGTTAAGCAACTGCCTTCGGCTCAGGTCATGATCCCAGAGTCCTGGGATTGAGTCCCACATCAGGCTCCCGGCTCAGTGGGGAGCCTGCTTCTCCCTCTGACCCTCTCCCCTCTCACGCTGTTTCTCTGTCTCTCTCTCTTTCTCTCAAATAAATAAATAAATAAATAAATAAATAAAATCTTTAAAAAAAAAAATAAAAGTAGATTTGAACTCCATTAAGGATATGAACGATCCTCAGAATCAGTACAAATGATTAAAACATTTAAAAATTGACTCACTAATCAAAACAATGCAGATTAAAACACAAAGAGAAGTCACTGTTCACTTGTCAGGTCGACAAAAATTTATAAATGAAATGTTCAGTTTTTGCAAAGGGACAGTGGAATAGTATTCTCTACTATTAGAGATAGTGAAACTCATTCTGAAAAATCATTTGGAAATATTTGTCAAGAGCCAGAAACAAACTTAATGCTCAATAATTGAAAGATGGTTAAATTTGCTGGTATGGTCTTATTACATAACCATCTGAAATATGTTTTGAAAAAACTTTAATAGCATGGCAAAATGCTGCTGAGTAATGTATGAAAAAATCGGGATAGAAAATTATATATATTGTGTGTTCCAAATCATGTTTAAAACAAAGCATATACATTCTTACATATATTCCTAGGGGAAAATAAAAGCTATTTGATAAATAACAATATTAATATTATATCAAAAATGTGGATTTGGGGAGATTTTTTTCTTTGTATTTTCTCAATTTTTTAAAAATTATCTGAAAAATTTTTTTAATCTGACCTGTCAGCAGGAAAGATTAATTGATAGCCAGCTTAATTAAGTTTTATAACAAATGCAGACATTTAGAAAGTGATGAGGATATAAATGTGGGTGGAATCTAGTAAATTGAGCTACTTAATTTTTTTCTAGAAATGTATTAAATTATGAAGCTAATATAAGTGGTTACTGGAATTTATCATGCAATTTTTCACCAAATTTGACATCAGGAATCTTATCTTCATTGCAATGTAGCTTTAAAAGTTTGTAAACATTCAGTTGAATGATCTGCTGTTAGTTAAGCAGAATTAACAGGGAGAAACCCTATAACTGGAAGGGATGTTTGTAAAGCAGATGGAACTCCTTCATTTTACAGATGAGAAAGAGGACTCCTAGAGGAATTACATGATTTGCCCAGAGTCACTCACTCAATCAAAGGCATAAGATAAAGAAAACCCAGGTCTCTGGACAACAAGGCTTGTTGTGCTTCTGCCATGGCCCAGTATTGTGTCACTAATCCTACATTTGGGCATGGTTATGGAATCAGTAAAGACAGTAGTCAAGTATACTCTGGTAAGATTTATATGTTAATTATCACAGCGAGAGCATTCATTTATATGGCAGTTTGCCAGGTAGACTATTCAATTTACCAGTAAGAGACAGATTATCTACAGTGATGGCCACTTAATATCAGCTTGCTAGAGACCCCATCTACCCACCTTCCAGGTAGCAGGACTTTTCCTTCCCCATGCCTTGCAAAGTTCCTTTCTCTAGTGGTTATTCTGAAGTCAAATGAAGAGTTTTTCTCATGGATAGTCTGGAGTCAGTCAGCATGCAGTCTGTACCTCTAGTTGTGTTCTGGATTATGAGGTTCCAAATATGAATCTCTTTTTGATCAGAATTCCTCTACTGGCTACTAATCACTTCTTATTGTCTTGAGATCAGTTGTTACAATCATGTTTTTTCTGGGGGTTAGGAGGTTCTTGCAAGGGAAGAATTCTGTGCTCTCCATTACCACAGTGGTCCAAGAGTGGACATAAATTCATTCTTTTAATTCAGTGGAGCAGGATACTAGATACAATGGCTATAATGTATTGATAATGAGATAATAAAATTTACCTGGTGGGTTTATTGTCAGGATAAATGATTAAGCATTTAATCAAGAACTTAGTATAATATTAAAAGCAAGTGCTTAGGGGCGCCTGGGTGGCTCAGTCAATAAGTGTCTGCCTTTGGCTCAGGTCCTGATCCCAGGGTCCTGGGATCAAGCCCCACATCAGGCTCCCTGCTCGGCAGGAAGCCTGCTTCTCCCTCTCCCACTCCCCCTGCTTGTGTTCCCTCTCTCTCGCTGTGTCTCTATCTGTCAAATAAATAAATAAAATCTTAAAAAAAAAAAAAAGCAAGTGCTTAGTATAATATGATTAAACTATAATTTCTATAATGTACTATATATACTGTACTAGAATTACCCATAATACCCTAAATATAATATAAATATTAGCTGTTTTTTTATTGTCCTCAGATTGAAGGAGATGTTCATCAACAAGTTATTTTTTCCTTTGTAGCTGTATCTCTAGCATCCTGTGAAAAACGCTTAAGTTTTTCAAAATTCTACCTCTTCGACATGCACTCAGTCATACTTGACACCACTGCTTGAAGTCAGGCTCTAAGAAAGTGTGGCCTACAGGGAGGAAAGTATTCTCCATCTCTCAGGCCTTGTCTGTCCCATGATCTGCCTCTTATCAGGATGATTGAAAGTAAGATTATTCACTGATTTATGGGGAGACCTCACCCCCTACCAACTAGGAGTATTTGTCTTGGGAAGACAAATAGAACATTCTCTTCATAATATAATAATCCAGTATCATTATGGTTACTAAAGTCTTATATATTCAATCTTAAGTAATATGTGAAAGAACAATAGTCCAGTCCAGGTTTAACTTGATCCAGTATTGCCTAGTTCTTTTGTACATATGTATGTCCATTATAAAGTGAAAATTTAGGTGCACTAAGGCTGGCTGCAGCAACTTAGTGCTCAACAGTAGCTCAATGATGAACATATTTCCATAAGAATAAGTAACACTTTGCAGGCACATCATAGCTTAATTTCATACATAAAAACCAAGTATTTCTCCAAAAAAAGTCCAAGTGAACCAACTCTGCCTACAATGCAAACCTTTGTGTTGTTATGCAGTGTTAGCTCTTTAAATCATCTTGATTTTCAGTTTTATTTAATGGGATGACTTTGCTAAAACCTGTTTTATACCCCCCCGCCTCACAGGCACACATTTGTTTTTATAATAAAAATCGGAACTAAAGGGGCGCCTGGGTGGCTCAGTTGGTTAAGCGACTGCCTTTGGCTCAGGTCATGATCCTGGAGTCCCGGTATCGAGTCCCGCATCGGGCTCCCTGCTCGGCGGGGAGTCTGCTTCTCCCTCTGACCTTCCCCCCTCTCATGTGCTCTCTCTCTCTCTCTCTCATTCTCTCTCTTTCAAATAAATAAATAAAAAAAAAATCTTTAAAAAAAAAATCGGAACTAAATTATATACCATTTGTGCCAGGCATCACTGTAAATGTATATTAGTGCATTTGGATAATAGAATTACTACTATCACTCTCATTTTACAAATGGCAATACTAAAACATAAAGAGGATATTAAAAACTTGAGTTGAAGAGTTGGGATTTGAAAGCCTAGACACAGAGCCAGTTGCAGTCATTGCTATGTTATGCTCTTTTTCTGGGTTGTAGAATTAGGTTCAATCAAATTAAGTATGACATTTCAGTAAGAGATAATATAGATAGTAACTATGTGAAGATCTTAGTAATATAAGAATTAGGAAAAAATCTAAGGGAGGCCAGTATTTTAACAATTAAAATTATTAAGAGACCTCTCTAGGT